GGACTTGCTATGGGCGAGGAAGGGCGAGGTCGCGAAGGTGTAAAATCTTGATCAAACGTCACATACCCGCTGTAACACGTGAGTGAAAATCGGAAATTCCAAACATCTTCAAAAGATCTATCCTAGAAAGAGCCCTTATGGAAGTAGAAGTTGTATCTTTACGTAATGGGTCTATGGGCAGACGGTTTCTCCTGAGGCTTGAAAAGCTGCAAATAGGTGCGGTGGTGAAAAATATTGAAACAAAGCCTTCTACATATAAGATGAAGGCTCAAAGTTCTGAAAGCTTAATGGAGTTGAACATGTTAGCGTTAGTCCCGCGCAGTCGCAGGGTCAGCTGTCTTTGCCAGTCGTCGCTACTCCTTTTTCGTCTTTAGACATTTGTTGTGACGGGGTCTTCATCAGCCGGCCTGTCAACCTGGGCCTGACGCTGGTACTAGAACCATTTTTGCAATTTTTGCAAGGCATGGTTAACCTCGGCAGGGATCGAACTCGCGGTTTTCAGAGGTGCAGACATGAGTCTAACCTCTTAACCACTCGGCTATCCCTGCCCTCATTGAAGGCTAAAACTATTCAGCAAAAATACGCCCATAGTGGAAGGTTTTCAATTCGAGTTGTCTGAGTCGAATGCTGTAGGAGGGTATAAATCAGGGATCTGTAAACACCAAGTATACCAGCCTTCTGAATCTCATCTACATTTTTTCCAATTCTGAAATAAGCTTTTTGTGGGATCCACGCTTACTTCAGAATTCGAGGATATGGAGGCATAAGTTTTGTATGGCGAGTAGAATCGTCAAGCTGGAAGATTTGATGCTTTTGAACAAGCTGTATAGGTAGCGTAGTCCTTAATTACGTACCTCAAATATGAGTTTCCCAGCTCAGCGACTAGGAAGTTGTAACATCAAGCACGTGTATGGGTTCGAACATTGGCAGAAGGTATGTCTGTTAACGATAAATCGCCTGATCATGTCCGAGAGAGTTTTCTTGTGGAATGAGTGTCTGTTCAGAGGAAGAGGCAAAATGGACTTTACGGTAACGTAAAAATGCTTTAGAGATGGTAGTGATGCTGCGTCCAGATGATGTAGCGAGCTTTCCGGGTTATTCCAATATGGACATTGGTGTGATATATTGTGCAACGACCGAAGGATACTGTGGAGCCAAAGTGCCGCTCTACCTCTATCACTCTGCATCTTATAAAGGTTCGCAGCTGTTTTTTATGAGTTATGTTCCCATCTGACGCCTATTGTTGCGAAGTAAGTCTGTGTATCGGTGTTATTTTCTGTTTACAACATTTCAGTTTCTTTTCCAAAACGCATTGAATGGGAAACCTCAGAGCTCACTTTCAATGGTGTCGCACCGTATTGTTCCTTATACGTTGTTTCGGTAATTTTCGGTGCACAGATAGGGCAAATCAACGTGGTCGTCCGTTTGTTTTAAATGATGGAGATCGAATTGGTTGCTAGTGCTGTACAGTACAATACGCTTCGAAATTGGGTCCTCAACCACTGTAAACAGAGCGATGGAACGCGGAATTCTGTCTCATTCTTAATTTTTAGACTACTTCATCGGTCTTGCATCTGAGAATCGCTCAACATATTCTGTGCAAAATTCTGGGCGACCACATTGTTTTGTGTGGCCGAATAGCAAGTAAGATTTTTAGCAATCAATGATTCTCAATTTTTTATTTGACGCAGGTGGTGATGAACTTGTTTCACATGTAAAGGGAAGCTGAAGATTTTGCAGCTTACAGCTTCTTGGACTTTGTCTTTTCACATATCCTCGTCTTTCAGTTACTCAACCGCGACGAAATCAAGCCCTACAGTAATCACTAAAGGCACTCCGACAAATCCGACGACTTCCCGATCTATCAACGTCTACGGCGCCGAAGCCACCACTCCGATTATTGCCAACTCTACTGGTTCTTCATCACATTTCACAACCAGCACCATAATCAGAACAAGTACAGCTACGCAAACGAATAACACCCGACCAGGAGAGCAGGGCACTACCAATAATCCTGAACAAGGCACACCGCCTAATTTACGGAATTCAACCAATCCTGAACAAGGCACACCGCCTAATTTACGGAATTCAACCGAAAGCAGCGAAGGTGAGTTGGTCCAAGTCTCACTCCATTTCTACAGGTTAAGCCAAAATCATTGTAAGCGCGAGTGCACGGTCAACTTTATTGTGTGCAGTGATATAGGGCACAAAGTGTTTTGTTTTTTGAACAATGAAGTTTTTTCGGAATAGTCAAAATCACACTATGAGAGTCGGCAAACTGAAGCGACAAAAGGTTCTTGCCAGCTACATCTGCCGACAGCTCAACGTACAAGAAGCCTGGATGAGCAAAAGGTGAAAGCTCCAGTAAGAACCGCCTCATATGGAGGTGGAGATTCGAGGGTTACAGTTATCACCAGGACAAATATCTAGTACAACCCCCTCTCCTCTTCTCAAAATTAAAAAGTTGATGTGAAAACCCACATGGACACTAAGGACCCTATGTCTATCATTTACAGAAAGCCACTTGAGCGTCTTGTTATAGACTTCTCAGAAGGCTAGAGCACTGGACAGTAGAGCCAAAATTTTGTAGAGAGGGGTTTCCGAGTACGTAGACTTTGAAGAATATTACCTAGGATTCCCATGCAACTCGGCCGCGTTTTCTGTATGGTACCTGGAAGCAGAAGCAAGCCCCAAACAACTTTGATCCTTGGAGGAAGATGCGGCAGAAAACCTGGCATTATTTCAATGTCTCTTCTGCTTGCCGCCGTGCGCGTCGTCCCTCTTCATCCGTAGGCCTCTGTAAACGCACAAGTAACACATTTTAATTCCGACCTGGATTTCTTTGTGGTACGGGTGGCCAATACATTTTTGAAGTTTGTTGCTTTACTAGGCTTATTTCGTTTTGAATAATGCATCTTATAGTACCTGTGCAGTACCTTGATTACCATGTTTTGGCCCACCGTGTAGATAAAAAAAACTGTCGTCAAGAAACTCAACAACTTTACAGTTCACCCTTCGGGAGTTGTCTGGCGCACTGACTGACGATTTCTTGTATTAAACTTCGTTCGATATGCCAGTCAGCCTTAAGGAGGAATTCACGATTAGAATGAAGGTCGAAGAAGAGTAATTCACCTAGTTGAGGGACCCGCGGACCTCCTGAGGTGCGAACTGACGCGCAATTGGCACCGAAAAGTTGACCTCGGCGACCTATTAAGGCTCAATTGGCGCGGTTGGCCGATGCACGCCCACCGATCATCTGATCACTCGCCGCAGGTCTATACGTGATAGCAGAGAGAGCGTAGTGAAGAGGGCACAGCGATGAGAGTCGCATCAATGCGCAAATCAACGGGCAAGGAAGGGGTCCCATTTCTCGGGTTCTGGGCCGTTTCTCATGGTTTTTCCTTCTTTCGTGTACCACTCACCATAGGTTAATTTGAAATGGGTTGCTTTTTCATCGTGAATTCGTCCTTTAACGCTTCTGTCATTTTGGTGGCCGCCTTTATCACATGTCCCACTAATACTGGTCTAATTTTCCCAGTCATTATTTTGTCTGTTCAGGAACTGAGTAGCGGGCTTCGAACTAGGTCCTATCTATTTCGAGTCACACATTCGTCATAGAAGACCGTTTCATCAATCAGTCATACACTCGCACTGTTTTTCCTCCAAATCTAGCCTAAAACCGAGCTTTTGGCTTGAGCTGGCCCATCTTCTTTAAAGCTATTTGACCTCATCCCTGCAGAGTCTTAGTCTTTGCACGGCCGTCTGGATTTATATACGAACACTGACAAACCATCTTGTGTTTTGTTTCCCCTCTTTCATTCTGAAGGCTGTCTTATTCTGGTGCGAGGAGCTCCATTCATTCTGCAACAATCGACCCTTTTTCGGTTTCAAACTCCTTTTAGTCTCAAAAAGTTCTCTTCCGTTTCCATCGAGTTGTGTCTCAACCTTATAGTTAGACCAAATTCTATGTCTTTAGTAGTTTTGAGGAACCGGACTTATCTTTAACTTGATTAGGAATTTTCAAACTGAATCTTGCTACCGTGGTCGTGGACTTGATTCATCTCAATTGTGTCCAGCTCATCCGGGTCAATGACAAAAAAGGGTATGGCGACAAGCGGACTCGCTCTTACCTTATGATGATGTGTTCAGTTTGCACTCGTACTCAATTGCCTTGGCAATCCTAATTACCACTGTTAATGTTGTATAACACAAAGAGGCACCAAAATTTTATTTCAAAAGAATTCCAAAAGTTCACAAAATTTTTAAGTATTCGAAAGAATTCCAAAATTCCAAAAGCCAAAAAGCAAGTTGGAAAGAATTTCTTTGAAATCCTACGCGATATTTCGGTGTATGACCTTCGTCAGGCCCGAAATAAACTGGTTATAGCTGGTATCAGTAATTAGGTGGTTTCCCCAAACCCACATAAATACCTACATGTGTTTGCCACTGTCAAGTCGAAAGCTGCCCTTACGGGAGCCGTACCGTCTGTGAGCGCAAAAAAGATGACTTACCCTTCACCCTCTGCTTAAATAGTAGCGGACGAACTGTGACGATCATTGCAAGTGATATTAATAATTACGTGGCATTGGACACGTAGTTTGTTTAGCAGTTGTAAAGCGTCCCGTAATTCGTTCCTTCTAATTTGTTTCGGTTGATATTTTTCTTGTTTCCCTCCAATAGTTTCCTTTCCACCGGGTTTTCTATGGAGCGGTGTAATAGCCTAAATGGTCAACGTGGGGGTTCTCCATTCGCGTGTTTTTGGTGCGGTACTTGGAGAAGCTGATGTTAGAATAGGAGGTTGGGTTTTGCAACGCCCTTCGGTGCTCATCCAAACGCTTGCAAAGAGGCTTTTTAATTCCCCACACACTTTTTGTCCGCATCTTGGCAATCTATCAAGTAAACGGTCCCCCTCAGTTGGCAAATTTGTTGTCGTTGCAGTATGTCGAACTCCTTGACCATAGGAGCATCATCCGGTGTCTACTTACTTACTTACTTATCCCTTAGCTTGCGTCTGGTGGTGGGGGCCGGCCTCTCAACCAGTACACTGCTGTGGGTGCCATTGGAGTACGAACGCCCTGAATGAAGTGTCTCCATTCTGGTCGATTAGCAGCAATACATCTAGCATGCTCAACACTGCACCTCAGAGCCCTAAGGTCTTCCTCAACTTGCTTCAACCAAGTCTTTTTTGGAGCCGTCCTCTGAACTTTCCACTGCGCAGGGCGTCTTCTCCACAGGAGCATATTAGGTATTCTGTCGTGACCCATCCTGCACAGGTGACCGAACCATCGTAGCCGTCGCAGTTTCAATTGTTCCTCGATTGTGGGTTGATCTTCAAACTTCTCCCTGATGGCGTTGTTCGTGACATGGTCACGAAGCCTGATCCCGAGCATATGGCGGAGACAACGCATTTGAAACACCTCGAGATGAGAGAGATCCGACTTGAGCAACGTCCATGTCTCAGACCCATATAGTAGCACAGGGAGCACCAGCGTCCGGAACATGCGAATTTTGGTTTTCAGTGATATGTTACTCTTCTTCCAGAGACACCACTTTAACGCTGCAAATGTCTTAGACGCATGACCAATCCTGCTGCGGACCTCAGCCTCGGCAACCACTTTCCTTTCTTGAACGACCGATCCAAGGTACTTGAAATTACTCACTTGCTCCAAGGCGACGCTACCCAGTCGCACGGACGCGGGCGATCCATCCGAGGTCATCACCTTGGTCTTTTCCGCGTTTATTTTGAGGCCATACGACTGGGCAATCTCTGACAGTGAGCACATGATGTTAGTCGCTTCCTCGTCAGTTTCGGCGAAAATTGCGCTGTCGTCGGCAAACATCAGGTCAGTGAGAAAGCCGCCTTCACCGTACTGCACGCCTTGCCTTCCGTTGAAAGTTTTCCTCATGACAGCGTCCATTACCACGTTGAACAACGTAGGGGAGATCACGTCACCCTGACGAACACCAGCACTTACAGGAAATTCTTCAGAGACGTCATCCTTGACGCGGATACAGCTGACAGTTCCATTGTACGCCTCCCGCAACAGCCTCACAATTTTGTCCGGAACATGTTCACACTCTAGGGCTTTCCATAGCGCTGGCCAGTGGACGCTATCGAATGCAGCTCTGAAATCTATGAAAACAACCACAACCCTTTTGCCGCAACGAATACGTTCTTCCAGTAGTTGCCTCAGCGCGAAGATCTGGTCACTGCACCCACGGCCAGGGCAAAAACCCGCTTGCTCCGGTCGGCATAAGCTTCTTCGATGAAGCTGAAGTCTTGCGTTGATGATCTTTGTGAAAACCTTCCCGACGACTGACAGGAGTGATATGCCGCGATAGTTCTTGCATTCCGTTATGTCGCCTTTCTTGTGTATTGGCACGATGATGGAGCGTTTCCACGTCGTAGGAACAACCTCCGTCTGCCAGACGCGACACATAAGACGGTGGAGCCGTTGTACCAATACTTCTCCTCCTGCCTTAATCGCTTCTGCTGTGACATTGTCTACACCAGCCGCTTTCCTGTTCTTCAGCGACATCACCGCCGCCCTCACTTCCTCCATACTTGGCGCCGCCTCGTGTGTTGGTTCCTGTGGCATCTCTATCGGTACTGGCTCTGGAAACGGTTCTGTGGGCAGTTCGTGGCTGTACAGCTCTATGAAGAACTCTCTCCATCTCTGTAAGCGTTCCCTCTCTGACTTCACGAGTTTGCCACTTGCGTCTTTGATGAAGGTTCCGCATGCTCTGGTTTTGCCGCACAGTCTTCTCAGAATTTGATACGGCATGCGATACTCGTGTTTGGATGCCGATTCTTCGAGCTCCTCCGCTACTGCGTTCCAGTAGGCCTCCCTTTCTGTTTTTAGTCTCTTGCGGAGCTCCTTACTGAGTAGCTGATACGTAGTGCCATTCGTCAGCTTCACCTTCCTCCTTTTGTCAACCAACTGCAATGTTTCGTCCGAGATCCATGGTTTAGTCCGTCGGCGCAAAACTGGGCACAGTTGTGTAGCACATTCGGTAATGACTTTTGCAGTCTGCCGTTCTTCCTCGTCCACCGTTCCCACTTCCGTGAACGCAGCAAACTGATTTGACAGTGCAATTTGGAAGCCTTGCTTCACCTCCAGCTTCATAAGTTGCTCCCAGTCTACTTTCGGTTGGCGTTTACCTCGCTTAGCACACTGTAGGCGGAGCTGCACGACTGCTCGTAGTAGGTAGTGATCTGATCCGCAATCCGGGCCTCTCATTGCACGCACATCCTTTAGCGATGACCTGTATCGAGAATTGATTAGTACATAGTCCAGGACTGCTGAATCGTGACCAGATGGATTTCTCCATGTCAGCTGATGCTTTCGTGCATGCTGGTATAGGCTATTGCCGATGACCAGATCATTGAACGTGGCAAACGAAAGCAGCCGCAAACCATTGTTGTTCATTTCTCCTACGCCAAATCGGCCCATCACAGGTTCCCATCCGGTTCTGTCGGCGCCAGTTCTAGCGTTCAGATCGCCTGTGACGATAACGAGATCTCTTCTGGGAATGCTGTCCAGCACGTCTTGGAGCTGCATATAGAATTCGTCCTTCATACCGTCGTCGCTCGGTTCCGTCGGAGCGTATACGCTCACTATGTGCGACTTGACGGTTCCGCCCAAAGTGATCACTGCTATTCTCGGCGAGATGGGTTGAAACGACACGACGCATTTTGATGCGTGGCTATTGAGCATGAACCCAACACCATCACGATGTTCTTGACCGCCAGAGTAGTACAGTGTCATCCAATCGTCCGTAGCAGGAACCTGCACTCTTGTCGTTCCACAGCCGCTGATCCTCAGTTCGGATAAAGCTGCAACAGTAACCCGGCACTTGCTCAACTCCCTTGCGATGATTTCTTTCTGACCGCAGTGAAAGGCGGTCCGCACGTTCCACGATCCAAGTCGCAGTTTCGACTTAGGTGTAAGGAGTCGTGGGATTTCCTTTTTTTGGCCAGTCAATGTCTTTCCACCAATACCCTGGCTCCTCGGTATTGGCGCATCGGCTCCCCCGGATGCGGTAGCTTTGTCGTTATTGCTATAATGACACTCCATGGTTTCTTACCTAGTTTTACAGCCCGTCGGTAGCGGGCCAACCCTCCTCCTTTCCCAGACGGGCTTGGGACCGTCCATGGCGAACATCATACACAAAAACATGCAACAACCAGATTTCAAAATGTCCTCCACCTGCACGAATACAGGCCTCGAGTCTCTTCTTGCACCTTCACACGTTGCACGCAGGTATCCCTTATCCAATTCTTCCCAGGCTTCCTTTGATGCTGCTTGCAATGATTGCAGATTCGTATGACGAGCTCGACATGCCTTGCTCTTAATCACGAACCAGACTGAGAGTTCAAGTGATTAAGATTAGGGGAGCAAGAAGGCCATTCCTCGCGGCGACGAAGTCGGGCACCTCGCAGCTCGCACCTGCCTTGAACGAGCTTGGCCCCGTGGGCTGTAGCACTGTCCTGCTGGAAGCACATCGGCTTGTTCCCAAAGTGGGACTTGGATCAAGGCTTCCATACGTTCACCAGCATGC